TATATATATATATATATATATATACACAATATGAAATAACATTTTTTAGAAAGGGCAGTAAACAAAATTCTTGTTTGAAATTTACAGATGGCCGAGCGAGAAATGGCACAGTTGAAGAGAGATATGGAGGAGCTCGAAGGAGTGAGACAATCGCTCGCGGAATTCTTCTGTGAGGACATGAACACATTCAAAATTGAGGAGTGCTTCAAAATATTCCATCAGTTCTACCAGAAATTCAACCAGGCGGTTGCGGAGAATGAAAGACGGCGTATCCAGGAGGAGCAGATCTTGGCGCGTCGCAAACAACGCGAAGAACAATTGCTGGCGAGAAAACGATTACGTAAGTGTGTGTATCTTTATAAAAATTAGATGCTACATTATATTTTTTAAAAACTAGTGTATAGTTTTCACATTTCGATTTTAATTTTTAAGCATTAATTATTTTTTCATAAATCAAAAGTGCTATATATACGTCAAATCAGGAGACGCGTTAGTATCTTGGCGCTAAGACAAGCTTAGCGACATTATATACATTAGTTTTAACTAACCAAGTATTTTATATTTCAAACTGATGTACCATATAATATCATTGTTACACTTGTCTTATGTCATATTATTGAATTGATACGCAACAGTGTGATATGATATACAAATTTACAGTTACTCTTTAAGATTTGTATTCGTTAAATACGCAGTAAACAATCAAGCGGAGATGCTAGGCTCGGAATCTGAATCTAACTTGATGGATTATGGGCTTTTCGACAACGGTTTACCTCAAAGAAACTATATCCGCGGCGAGGCCAAGGTAAAGTCTACCAGTTTGCCACCTACTTAGCATTTACTTGTTATCTAATGTACTTGAAAAAAATAATAACACTAAATAAAGCCCAAATAAATATTTTGGGATAAAAAAAAGTAGTGTTCTTTAAAAATTATAAAATTTGATCAATATTACAGAATGTCTGATAATTAATGGTTAATAATTAATAAATTAAAATTCTCGCATAGAGGCAGAACGGATTAAACTAAGAAGAGAAGTCCTCTAACATTTTGCATTTTACTATTAGTTAACTAATTATTAATTGATGAAAATAATTAAACGATGTAAACGAGAGTTTACAAAACATTTTTCGGACTCTGAAGAAATCCAAAGACGTCGAATTGTTACTTAGGATATTGTGTGAGATAATTGAATGTTTCATTAAGCTTTATGAATTATACTCTTTTTGGTATACATACATATACGTAACGTTTTTTTCATCTTAATCCGGTAATCGGGTAATACATGTAACGTATTTCTTGTCTTAAATTCGACCGCGATATAAGGAAATCAGGATAAAAATTTCCAACAATGTTTGTAGATGAGACGATTGCAAAATAGCGGTGTTACAGCGATTGACGTCTCAGATGAAGACGTCTCTGTCATTGGATCACCGAACATTCGACGGCGTTTGGGCTCGTGTCCTGGCGGTTCCGATAACCAGTCTACCAAAGAAGACACATACTCACCAGGTATGCAACTTACGTGTTGAAGAAAGCTACTAAATAATGAATAAGTTACTAATAAAGGTGCCAAAGAGTTTAAGGATTATCGATCGTGTTGTTGCCGTTTACTTCATCAGAGAGCGCATTGACACTGAACTGTTCCTTCAGATTTTCTTTGTATAAGGTGTGCCCGACCTAAGGGATTACCTCCTGTAAGCAGGTAGAGTGGACTGAACTGAATAGAAAAGTCCTTTACCATTTTGCAATTTTCGCAATACTTTAAGAAATATTAATATTTAAATAAACGATATTTTACGAAAATAATTTCTTTAGAGAGTTCTCCGGAGGAGCAGCTCAATGCTCAATATATCGATACTCTCCTTGTTCTGATGAAGTAAACGATAAGATTCAACGAAATATTGATGTTAGCAATGGATAAAAATAATCGTCTTGGAAGATAATACCCGTGAAAGCCTTAAAAGCATTATCATAATAAAAGACATTTATTTTTTTAAGATATTTTTTTGATAGATATTACGCCTAACGGCACGCTTCGTCGACGCAGAAGTAGACTACCCTGCGAGGATGACGACGGAAATCTAATGGATTTCTTACGAACGTCTGGACAGGATAATACGCGAGAGAGAAAATCATGGGGGAGTTTAGGTATTTAATAATATTTGATATCAATGCTACAACTATTATTGTAAAATGAAACTACATTTTCTTTGAAAAATATTAAAGATCGATCGTGGGCGCGGAGAGCTCGAGGACAATCGAGAAGAGGGGACCTGCTAAACGCCGATTTTTCAGGAGATCGGGAACGACCGAGCTCACCAGCTCCTCTTGCGGAAAGTAAACCATTCTTACAAGAAGAGGAAGCGAAGTCAACTGGGTAAGTTAATGACAATTTGTATCAATTCAACAGCCTTTGAATTGCGTTTTTATATCTGTATGATCACGTATTCGAAATAAAAGGGAAATATATCAAAAAGGTAAAAGAAAAAATATAAATTTAATTGAAAAGAAACTTTTTGTAAAGTTCAATTAATTTATCTTTCATGTAAATCAGGAAAGCCTGGCGACAAAAGATCGAGGAGTGGCTGTCGGAGAACGAGAAAGAGGATCGTGCAAGCGAACAACTTCAGAAAAGAGCGAAACAATTGCATCAAGCGAACCGACGGTCTTTTGAAGACTCGGGTGAGCAAGTTTATTTTTCGTAAATATCGAAATAATTTTTTCAATTACAAGTTTTTTAACATGTTTGACGTGTGCGATTGCAGAAAGCGAAGGCAAGAGTTTTCCAATGAATATCTCAGGGGAAGATCAAATAATGGTCGAAGGAAGTTCTTCTAAAACCTACGACTGGCGACCATCCGTTGAAAAAACGGATGTGATGCGCACAATGGAAGCAATTGAAGGTGAGTACAAATTAGAAATTTATTATAATTTTATATGTCATGACTGATAAATGATATAATGCGTTGCTCTGAAAGTTTCCGCACGGTGGCATTAAGAATCATGTCATATTAAAACTGTTAATGTGTTAACTTTATTTCGTTTTTTAATAACATTTTTGTCTTTGACGTATCAACAAATGTTCATTCGTGAAACATATTCAAAGTTGACACTTTATAGTAATGATCAGGAATGGGTAAAATACTCGAAAAAATTGTATTTAAATACATTGTATTTCAAATACTGCCCACCTCTGGTAATGATAAACTATAATGTTGAAGATCTGCCTTCGGATCCAAAGATCTTGTATAAAAAACGCTTGTCTGACAGAATCCTGGAAGAGTTAGAAAAACTTAGATATTATTTACATCGTTAATTCATAGAATCATTGGCGACAGCTGCTGTACATCAGTTCGGAGTAAATTTGCATAATTAAATAATTTGCAATCAATAATTTAATAATTTGATGGCAACTGTCGTAGTCACATCATTAAATGGTAACAACATTTATTAAATTTAGAAAAGTAAGAATATTTGCTAGACGGTATTAAATTTACGAAGTTAATAGTTCACGTGAACAAAGACCGAGCTTCACCCCGTTCCCGCTTAAACACGCGCTTCCTAAATATCATTCAGATGTGACAATATTTATTGTTAGATGCATGTTTATTATATATTATTATATATATATTAAATTACATTACATACTCTAAAAACCTTATTACCTCCAGGGTCAATTGATCTTAAAATTAGCATTTAAAAGCTTGGATCTGGAAATTCGAGGCTACACTCGTTGTGCTGCGCAAAGAATACAATGCGAAATATATATGTATGAGTACATATTCATATTGTTGAACAAATAACTATTTTTATTGTACATTGTAATTTACGCATTGTGATTCCTGCTCTACCTTCCATTATCTTTATTACTTATTTATTATTATTTAAGAAAATTTTTCACCAGGGAATTTACAATTGATTAATAAGCATAAGCAAATACCTTAATTCTAGAAGTTCAAGTCTCGTCCCAGGATAAGTCTCCTTGGCGAAAATCGAGTTTGAACTTATCAAGTAGTACGGAAGAGACTGATCCGCGTTATTCTCGTAAATATAGATCAAGACCCAACATGGAAAACGCAATCATGCCGAGCACTCTACAGGTAAATATGAATAGAATCTATTATACTTATATCAATCCTACTTACAAATTTATCAATATTATTATAATTTTAAATATATAGCTCTATTTTACTATAGAGACATACGTTAAGAATTAAGCAAATTCAATATCCTACAAAGGTCCTAAATCCTGTGGAAAATAATTTTACACAAAAAAGTTTCCATTTATTGATCCTACATGTCTGACTTTAAGTCATCTCATATTATATTTTTTATCAATTTTAATTTAGTATTGTACATATAACATAATCATTTATAAACAAGAGAATGATAATATAACTTTTTTAAATGTGACAAAAAAATAATAAATCGTTTTTCAGTATGTATTAAATTTTCAAAAAATTAGAAAATTAAATGATTATGTCACATTGCATTTATAGGCGATTAGAGAAGAGGACAGGAAGAAGAACAATACCAATGACGTAATAAAATTAGATATGCAAGACGAATTAACGATCTATCTTCGACAGCCGTACACTGGAACGCAAGCGTCCGCAACTCGACAAATTTTAAAACTCGGTAGAAGATCCGCGGATGAGAATAGAGTTAGCGATAAGATTGAAATCGATTCGGATAATATCGAGACGCCACCGGTAACTAGACGCTTGTTCAGTTCTTCAAAAGATGTGAAACCCGTGGAGAAGGAACCCTGCAAAAGGGAACGTTGCAGCAGCTCCCTCCAGAATCGAGAAACAAAGACTGCAATATCGAAATGGACTGACACCAACACGGATCTTAGTACCGGTAAACACAAATCAGAAATAAACGGAAGATATATAAATAAAAGCCTCTATTCAGAATGCACTTATAACGATAGTGCGCATTCAGGATATATAATTCACGATATATATTATACATATAATGCAGCATGCGTTTCTTTTACATGCTCATACGTTATAAACGCTAAGCATTTTTTAAACGTTAAACAGAGTCGTTTTTTTTGCCCTTTTTAAGCGATTGTAAACATGGTAAAAAGTAGAGAATAAGGATTTAATTCTTATAAATTTTATGTAAATATCATCATACCTTTCTTTTTTGACGATAATGAAGATCCAATAAATAGGAATGTTGTGACAGAAACGGAAAAAAATGCTCTCTCAAATCTTCTCGGTCTCTTGTTTATTTTTTAAAATACAGGAATAATACATTACTAGGAGAAAGTTCCATGATCGCTTGTTATACTGCTTGATAGTTAATGATGATAATTATACCAGAAGGTTTGCGGGTTATCGCCGTGTCTTTCTTCATTATTGATGAATTTTCAGAATAAATTAATAAAGCAGAACAAGTAAAATTTAAAATAAATTAATTTCAGTTGATAAAATGATGTATCTCGGTTCTTAGGTAACTTCGATAGGCATTCGGCGACACGACGAACTCGTAGGTATAGAAAGACCCAAGATCTCACGGGAAACAAAGATAAATCAGACGTATCGAGTCTCGAATTGATTCACGACGAGAAGTCGAAAGTGCAGCGACCTAATACCTTTTCCCAGACCGATGAAGAAATTCGCCACGAGGACGCAGACACCATGCTGCGTATTTGGCAAAACAAATTGAAGCGACGTGATACCGCGCTGACGAAAATCCCACGTTCTAATGAAGATCTTCAGCGTCTGCCGCATTCAGTATCGACGATGGTAACGAGTCATAGAAATTCGCGACTTCCGATCAGTCAACCACTGCCAGTAGTAGCGGTGACTAACACCGTATTGAGTCCAGTAATGCAGGAATCGCGATCACGCGAACCTGTCACAGTGATTACTGAGCGGGCAGTGACGAGTCGTGAACGTCATCGGAGCATGATCGATCCAAGCCAGGTGAAGGAAGCGATCCGTTTGACCAGCAATCCACCCAGTCAAGTGAATCAGGATCAGGAAATCATCAATGGTTTTTCACGAAACGGAAATTCGTTGCGCGATCGAAAGGACGATGTGCTTCAGATCGTAGAAGAAGAGAAGTGTGCAAATCTGAAGTCCACTGGAAGTATGAGAGAATTCGAGGATATCCAGACTGCGGATGATTCATGCAATCAGTCCACGATTCGACAGAACCCTGTGTTCCGCAATCGATTCATCCCTGATGTAAGTGTAACAACATCGCCATCATCTAGTAAGAGCAGGGATCAGGAGTTAAATGACGAAGGCTTTGAAGAGACGCAAAGCCTCGTGTCGGAAAGCTTAAGCCAGGAGACGTATTCCGGTAATTACGAAACGGATACGCATGACTTGATACAATGCCCACCAGCGGAACTAGGCGGCTACGACAACGAAAACCGACGTAGCGTTATCACAGTGGTGAACAATGACGGCCCAGACAATCGGAAATCATCCGTTGATAAATTACTGATGCCGGCTTCAAGTAAGGTGTTTAACGAGAAAACGATTGCAAGGAACGCATCAGAGAAATCCAACTTTTTGCCGAAACGCATCGCAAGTGCAAAGCACGAATCCTTTACATTGAGAAAGATCGAGCCTATGAAAAGAACCTCGAATATAGTACCGTTGAACAATACAGAAACCTTACAAAATAAGAATAAAAATCAAGTGCAACGTTCCAGTTCCAGAAGCAGCCTGCGTAGTTCGCGGAGCTCGCTGAACAGCGCAACGTCCGTAAATACAGTGCGAAATTTGGCCGCGAATCACGTGCAATTGCAGAACTATACTTCGGCTATCCGAGTGCTGACTAATGATCTGAAGAAGAACAGTCCGTCGAGTAGACTATCGAAGGACGCTGTTGACAAAAGACGATTAAATCTTTGCCAGATGGGCGTCAGCAGGATACCTGCTAGTAGAAGCAGCAATAGTAGCAGCAACGTTGGACCAACAATGAGGAGCGTTCAGAAAACATCCGAGGTTGATATAATTTAAATATTTTTTTAAAAAGGATTTATCGTATATTCAAATCATATGTAAAATGGCAAGGTTCTTAATGTAAATTAAAAAAAAAAATACGTTAATTTTTTCCAGATTTTATTATCTTCTTTTTAAAATCATAAAATTTAAAGAAAAATTAAAAAGTTTTTAAATATTTCAGAATTTAAATAAGAGAAATTCGTACAAAGAATTCTAAAAAAGATGCAGACTCTCACTTCTGAAGTGTTCTAATTTATATAAAAATATATTTATATAAAAATATAAATTATTTATAACTTCTAGAAAATTTTTCTAAAAGTTAAAATTATAAAAGGAATATTTTTATAGGCTGTCAATGTTTAAAGTAATAACAGTAATAGAATATTAAAGGTAACTAATTGTAAGACTAGAGCCAGATAGGCTTCCTGCTATCAAATTGATCAATTTTAATCGTTATTAAATCGGTGTAAATAATGGTCTGAGCCAAAAGTGGGAAAGAAACTTTTAGTTCAAATTTCATCACGAGTTAATTGACTAGCAATTTAATAATTCTGTGTTCTCCCGCATTTTAAGATGTTTAAAATGATTTTAATAATGTTGAATGACATATTAATATTTAATATTATATAATTCTAATTAATATATGCATAAGTCTATGATCTCTATATAAGTAAGGATCAATATGGATTCCAAGTCCGTCGAAAAAAAGTTTTGCGACCATTCTGTACTACCACTGTACTATTCCGTATTCAGCTCAGCTATATAATCAAAGAATTAATTGATATATGGAAAAAATAACATAATTCTACGTTTTCCCTTGCAAAGTAAATTTTAAACATTTTATTTAATATCTTCGATTTTATTGTTAATCGTAGATGGTGTCTGGCATGCCAAAAGTCACAAGAGGCCGGCCAATCGCATCTCGTAGCAGCAGCAGTGGAAGCAGCGTAAGTCAGCAATCAATCTTAGGAAGTCGACCGCTTTCCGGTGAGAAAACATTCGCAACGAAAAGTAGATTAATGCAGCCACGAATCGGCTTAAAGGGTCACAGTTTTATGAGACCTACGGCCGCCAGTGTCAACAAAGGTTTTACAACAAATTTACCAAAAAACATCAAAGTTGTGGTCAAAGAATAACTTATTGATAAAGAAAAGAATTGCATTCATCACTGAGAATTTAAAAAGTCAAGGAGGATTATCTAAATACATTTAATAATTGCGTTAGGGTTAACAAAACATTAGTGTTATAAAGTTCAGCCGGATGCAGAGTTTAATGTTGATATTAAACTGTAATAACGATTTCGACAGACAGCTCGAGATTGTTAATAATGTTATCGTAAGATAGAAAGATTTCTGCTCTGAAAGATTAGATAAAAATATTGTTAGTCTTGCTTACTACGCTATCTCAGTTATTAAACTAAAATAAGTAAGACTATTATCGTGTATACGCCATACCACACCAAACAATGCGTACTCGGATATAAGAAGAAAATCAAATTTCTCTATTTTTATTGCATGTGACATTCATGTTATACGTATAACTAAGGAAATGCCCGACCACTGAAGGAATTTTCCTTTTAGTTCACTCGAGAACATATTTATGTGAAGTATATGTAACATACTCAATTAATAAATGTGTAACAACACTATATTATATATATATATAATATATATACACTATATAATATATTCCTGTTACAAAAATAAATATATATTGTAGAATATATAATGTCCGATAAATAAATTAACATATATGTACATAGAAAAGGACCCTTCGGCAGCCCATCATTTGTTGCCAAATTTTCGTTGCAATTACATCAACCAATATAGCAAAGTTTCAGCTTTAAAAATTTATTTCTTAAATTGCGATATGATGATTTTTAATAAAGTTATGAGCAATTAAAATTAGAATGTTCCTTTTTGTCATTCAAAGTGATCACCTCCCGTGACAAAGATTTTTTTTTTATTAGACCTAAATTACTTTATAAATCTAAAACTTTATCCTATACATAAACCTCTCTCTGATCATTATTTTTACAATAATACACGCAAAAGAATTCAAAACTTATATACTTTTATATCCTACACTTGATTTTTAATCTGCACGCCACTCGCACGTTATTTGCGCACTAACATGCTATATAGTTTACATTAATTATTACAGAATTTTACCGATGTGAAAACGCGTATTATATAATCTCAAATTAACGCTTCTTGTTCTTTTTCATATATAAAATTGGTCGCTTGAGGCTGTGTTCCAAAATTTTATGCCAGTACTGAAAATCTATGGTGCACGTAAAATATAAAATATGGATTTTCAGTATTGACAGTAAATTTTGGAACACAGTCGTAATAAATTTTCTAAAAAGTAATCACGTGATCTTTTTCGCACATGGCATACTTCAGCGTGATGCGTATTGTTTTCAAACGGAAGACGTACCGGAGAAGTGCGCGTTAGCATGCTAGCGATCAAATTAAGAATTTATCTGAGAAAATAAAAAAATTTTGTAGGAATTCGTGACGTTATGGATGAGCATGGAAACAGCATCGTGAAATGTAGCCCCTTTTTATTTTCTTGTACTTTTGAACGATAGAAATTATGAATTACGGCAATGTCATTACGACGAAATTTCGTGCGACTTTATCGTTACGATGACGATATTGCGCGCCAGCGATTGTATTATCGTCCTCGAGAGCGTAATTTTCATCCACCGCCGAAGATGCGTTGCCACAATGAGTATCTTAACCATTGGACCAATCACAATCTTGCTTCGTCTGCATTCTTTTGCAAACCTCGTGCACAGATCCGTGAGCTGCAAACAATGTGGCCTATCGACGACGACGAGGAAGAAGAGCAAAAGAGCGGTTTTCTCGTAGACGCGCAAGAGATGATACTCGTATTAACGAGGATTACAATTGTAACCACGGTTATCACCATCCTGCTCGTCGCATATTTGATTACGCGTTTAACTCATGCGAGTTTGTTTCCCACCATCTTACGGAAAGGTGAGCAAAATGTTATCAAATACCAGTACCAGAGAGAAACCTAAAAAAGGACATGAAGTTCTTTTACACTGTACCTGTAACCCCGTAAAATGCTTTACATTCTACCGCCCTTTGAAGAAGTGTATGTCAATTACACAACAATATCTACCTTTTCATGACGCTTCTGATGGAAATAAATCGCTGAGATCGTTAAAATCTTTATAAATTTAAAAGATTTAGTTATTTCACCAGGATTACTGTAAAAAGATAGATATTACTGTGTAATTTACACCCATTTCTTCAGAGGGCAGTAGTACGCGGCAGCATTTTACGGTTATAGGAAAAAAGCCCTGTAAAGCCCTCATGTCCCTCTTTCAGATTTCTCTCTTTCTCTCTCTCTCTCTCTCTGCCAGTACTTTGAATAGATTCAAACATGATGTAAAAAAATTAGGGAGACATTCCGTCTCAATGCATAATATATATACGTAAATATAATTTTATTCTTTAATATTTGGTAAATAACAAAGATAAATAATAATAAAATTGGCTGTCTAAAATAATATACTATATTATGCGAAAAACGAAATGTAATGACTCATCTACAATATGCAGAGTACACGTGTAAGCTTGTGCTATCACATACATTACTATGCAAAAATTACTTTTTTTAGTCAGCTCTAATGAGAGTTTGGTGACTGTGTGTCGTTCGCAATAATATGTATATAATTAATAGATTTTCGTTTGCAAAAGAGAATCTTATTGCAAAAAACAATTCAAGAACAGGAGTCGTATATTTTTCCACAGGTATCGAGTTTCTCGGGCCAATTTTCATCAAGTTCGGCCAATGGATTTCCACGCGATGGGATGTCTTTCCGCGAGATGTTTGCGACACGCTTTCACGACTGCAACGGAATGCGACACCGCATTCATGGCTGCATACAGAGCGCCTGCTTGAAGCGACATATGGTCCTTCCTGGCGGAATTTATTTGTAAGGTTTGACGATAAGGAACCAGTTGGCTCAGGATGCTGTGCGCAGGTATACAGTTCGAAATAGATATGGATGCGAATAGAGGACAGATTCGCATGCACTTAACGCACACGAATTGGACATACAGTTGTACGATGGGATAAATATGATTTGCGTGACTTTTCATCGTCCAAAATTGTTTAGGTGTATAAAGCGTGGATCGATCAGAGTGTAACGCAGAAGCCTCAGATATCGCATTACGTGGATAGTAAGTTAAAAAAGATTTTTACCACTATTCTTTACGCACGTATGCAAGCGACAAGTGTAGCGACACTATATTCTAGTGATCAACCGTCCCAAATTGAGAGGGACAATTCCAAATTTTAACTCTTTGTCCCTCTTTACAACGCGTCCCTAATTTTTTCCCAAATTACGACCGTAATCACAAATTGTCCCTCTTTTTTTAAGAATTATATAAATACAATTGTAGCATTGCAAGTGTCATATATTGAACTGCTATCTAGTATAAGTGTATTTATTATCACACTGTAGCTGCGTCCCGAGAGCGCGTTTTCAGTGTTAATACGCGTCCTTATATCTTCATTACACATATAACAAGGAAAGCGTTGTTCTTTTTTTAATTACTCACATATGGACTCCTGAATACAATTATTAATAAAAAATAATAATTAGAATCTATTAATTTTATAATTTCTTATTAAAAAACTCAAAAATTATTCGTAAAATATATAGCGTATAAAAGTACAATTTTAAATGAATGGGATAAGATGTGATACATTTTTGTGATTTCATAACTTGATGCAACTTTATTGTGACTTATATGATGCTAATGATGCTATTAATTAAGTGTTATTAGTTATTTACCAATGTAATAATATAATATTCATATTCATTAATAGACGATGATATTGATTTTTTTTTATGTTCCTCTTTCCCTTTTCTGGGAGTTGGTCACTAGACACTATATGCCGTGTTTCTTTGCACGAGACCGCGAGTTTGAAGGGACCAAGATTATATTAGATCTCAATAACGGTTAAAATGATCAAGTTCTGCTTGAATGTGTGTTCAATCGATAATTTCTACTCGAACTATATAATAAAAGTATTACCTTTTTTTCAACGTGCCGTGATGATTTATTGAAACAAAATGTTTCAAATTTAGATAAAGCTCACAATAGAAGCGACAAATTCGCATCTACCACTCAGTGTACCAAGAAATTGCAAACCGTAGCGGTAAAAGTATTGCATCCTGGAATCAAAAGCCAACTCAAGTATCGATCTTTCTATTGTTTTTAATTGCCAAATGTTTAGGAATTATTAATGGCTTGGAAATTTTAATTAAACAGAAATTTAATTAGTTAAAAAATCTACTATATATGAAATGTTGTGGCACTAATAAAGTCCCATGTTATATATCTTTCATATTATATATATTCGCTTTAGAAGGGATATTGCAATAATGCGTGGTTTTTGCAAATGTGTCACGTACTTCATTCCGGAATTGCATTGGCTCAATCTCACGGATTGCATCAACGAATTCGCACGCATAATGGAAAAACAAGTAATTTAATCCCACGACTATCCTTCCATACGTAGGTTGCTTTGAAAATTTCCGTAAGATGACATTGTGTACGTATCACTGTGACGTTGCAAGCGTTAGCTGCGGCGCTCGAGTCATTCTTTTCCCCAGATTTCTCTTCTTGGAGTACATTCCAAAACGTCCTCTTCGAGGAAAATTTTACTCGAAGTATAGTACATGTAACTTATAGTAAAATATATAGAGTAAAATCTTAGGAGAGGGCGTTTTGGAATGTAGCCTTATAACAAAATCTACATGACGCCACTAATATCTATAATAATTATATTAAAAAATGATCAAAAGAAACATACTTTACTAGAGACAAAATATATATAAGATATATAAGACTTATTTAATTTTAATCGATTTACGTGAAGGTTGATATGCGACTAGAAGCTTCCAATCTCATAAGGTTTTCGGCAAATTTTTCGAAGAGGAATGACATCATGTTCCCCTATCCTTATACACACCTAACTCGTCGCAGGATACTCGTCGAAAGTTTTCATGAGGGTTCACCGATATCAGATTATCTCGAATACGACGATGCTGTTTTACAACGGAAACTCGCAAAGATAGGAATCACGATGGTCCTTAAAATGGTCAGTATAAGTAATTCAAACGATTTCCAAAATTTAGTTCAGAATTTTAATGTCAAAACTTCGGGAGCGTATAGAGAATCGATAAACTAAGAAAAAAAGTTCTGCAGAGATATCCCTACAGGACTTTCTTTAGCTTAAAAATTTTTATGGCTTTTTAAATATTTTATAATTATATTATATATTTAGATTTTTAAAAGTCTAACATTTTTTAAATATTTCTATCCGTATTAATTTTTAATTTTGGAAGTTTATTCCACTCCTTAAATCTTAAGAATAGGTCGATTTAATACGTGTCTCTTAGACTTTTATGTTAAATAACATTTCAAGGAGACTTGAATCGGTTCCGGATAATTGTAATAAGTATATCTTTTATAAATATATAACGAAAAACATTTAACAAAAACCATTAAAATATATGAAAATCATTTTGTTCGAAGGAAGCCTTTAATTATTTATTGTCTGCCAAAAGCATTAAAGTGAATTAAAATTTCCCGATTTTGAGAGAATTTATGTTGTATTTATTCGTACGATAGATCTAATTATAAAACTTTAAAAGATTGGCCCGTTTTGCGTAGCGTTTTATTATTGTAGCTTTTTTGATTGAGAATAATAATGTACGAATATCTGTTTGATTGTAGATATTTAAGGACAACTTCATTCATTGTGACTTACATCCAGGCAACATTCTAGTCGAGAAAGTGGTCGTCCCGAAGGTGAGTCTGTTCAATACTTTTTGGCGGATCATTACTCCCAATTATGCGGCGTACGACTCGCGCCTAATAATATTGGATTGCGGCCTTGTGGTATCACTGAATGAACGCTGCCAACAAAATCTCCGAGACGTATTTTATTCGGTGTTAATGCGAAATGTAAGCTCGAGAAATAACGTTCACTTTTTATTGACATGCGCTCTTTGTTTTCTTAACGAGAATTTATTCCGAAAGAATACGTTCATTCTTTCTTTTTCTTTCTTCTTTCTTTCTCCTTTTCTTCAAAGTACATATATACTTTTTATTTATTTACGTTTTACATTTACCATTTCGTTTTGCTTTAATGATTATTTTTTATCGTACATTTTATATTTTTTAAGGATGAACGATTGACGTTTTATGTGCAAAATTTAACATAGGGCGAAATGGCGGCGCAGTATATCCTGGAGCATAGTTCGCACATGACCCCCGATCCAGATGGCTTCAAATGCTCAATTAAAAATATTGTCAAGTCTCATTTTAGCAATCCATTTAACGTTAGTAAAAGGTATTCTCTTTAAAATCCAAAAAATCGCCGAAGTAGCGTATTGTTTCTCGCGATTACAATTTACAGTCGCTCATTTAAAGAGAGTTGTTTGAAACTTATTAATTTTTTAACTTTAACCGTGTTAATTTGCGTCAATTTACAGAATCAATCTTCCGTTTTTGTTTTTAACGACCGTGCGCATAAACACTGTATGAGATATCATCAACGTTTAAAGGGAACCTAAAATTGTTCACCTTCATGGTGAAATTAAAAAGGTGATCTATTGTGCAGGGGTCACCTTTTTAATCCCATTGTTCCTACAATCAACTACATTTAGTGATAATTCTTCAAATTGGATTTACGGATTGAAAAAATAGTTTTTGTCTTTCAGAATTAAAGTACGCACAAAAAACATTGAATTTCACAAGGAAATAAAAAGAAGTAAAAAAATTCAATTACTTTCGATTCGTACAGCTGTTACTTAATAATATTTGCTTGCTATAAGAAATTTAAAGTTAAAACTTTCGTCCATCCAAGTACAATGCTTTTACTTTTCTTTTGAGAGACAGTTACTATTTAAACAAGAAAGGTGTAGAATCTCTCTATTCAATAATTATCATAGTTAAAAATTTTTCTTTACTTTCTGCATCTTAGCAAATTAATTTTGTTTGATCCCCGTAACTTTCTTTGGCGTTTATGATAAAGATTAATGAAAAAAAAATCGTAAGTTTCCCGAACAGTTAGCAATATCTGTTTATTTTTATTATGTATGTATAATACAATGCATACTTTACACATGCATATTATGATTTCCGTACGCGTTTAAATTTTATTGTTAAATATGAATTATAGTATAATATTAATTTTGACCATTTTTTTGTGTTTTTTTTCTTTTATGCGCCGTGCCGGATATCTAGGTAAACATAAGTACCATTGTGTCGGAATTATTCTCCGCAATGATTCATCACCGAGTCAAGCAAGACGGATCCTTCAGCAGCGTGATTCTTAGTATACTGGTAGTGGAGGGCCTCGGTCGCTGCTTGGATCCTGAAGTCGATGTTTTCACAGAGATCCTGCCCTATGTTCTCAGCAACGTTGAACAACGAATAAAAATGAGATTTTAAACAAAAGTTAATTATATATTTTAAATAATTACTTGAGTACTATTTGACTTATATCTCATATAATAAAACTATTTAGGTAAAAGATACAGGACATTAAAAAAATCACTAAATTTTGCAATTTAAGAGTGTAACGATGCACCCACGAATTATCTTGGTTTGATTGGCTTGAGGCGCATGACGCTCAGAAAAGGTTAGAGTGACAGTGACACAAGCAGCGGCTTTTATCTTTCTGTCATTGTTACTCTAATCTTTTATTTCATACAAAAACGGATATTGTATACATTTACCATTCTAGTATAGTTTGATTCGGTTTGGTTTGCTATACTGAATCATGCCAAAAATCGCCTAGTAAGAAAGTAATTATAAGTAATTCTTATATTTCTGTAAAATATTAAGAAAAAGAAGAAAAATCGTAGGCACTACAAAAAATGTTTATTTTAAAAATATAAAAATTACATACATACAAAGTTATTATATAGCAATACAAAACTTTTACATTCATCATTCGGCATTTCATAATGATTTAAACGACAATCGGTAGAGAACATCGCGCATGTATCAAAAACGACTATACATGTACAGTGAATAAAAAAACAAAGTTAACATATTTTTGAAACATGTGTAGATATATTGTTCATTTTTTTCAATGTTTCAAATATTTGTCATACGTTTTGGAGTTTATACAATATATATTAATTTACTAAATATTTAATCAATGAACATTTACATACATTAAATATGATTCAGGTTCGTCGTGTGTAAGTGAGCTGGATGAAGTAAATCAAAAAATTTTCTGGGTGATTGAGAACAAAGCAAGGAACGGAATTTATTTGGATTTCGTATAGGAATTTTATGCAAGTGTAATATGTTTGTTTTTATAAAAGTATTCGAATCCATACATACTAGTATACGCATGAACGAAGTGAGTGTTAAAATAGAGAGATACGCATTGCATTTTATATGCAATAAGTATTTACAATTTGAATCGTTTGTATTGTTACATGTATTTGAAACAGCGAGACGTTGCTTCGTCGATACATGAACACATCTTTCCATGTTGCACGTCTCTGTGATAGTTATTAAAATCATTTTATCTGGATTAGTAGCATCTACAAAACTTGTTAAGATAAATTTTGTTTTTCACATCAACATAGTATTAATACATAAATTATATTTACCAATGTAACATGGTAGAGTCTTGAGCGTTAATATTGGCATAAATGGTAATAATTTAGTACGATAATTGCAATCTTCAATAAAACCCTGTGTTGTTTCCCATATGTTTTCATCAGGAAAATAAATGTTAACGAACATATACAAACCTGAAAAAATAGATTTTGAGAAGAAAAACAAAAAATTTTTTCAGAATCTGTAATATCTAACGATATCAACAAATTGTTGTTAAGAATCTGACAAAAGTTATTGTTATAACCCGATGGCGGCAAATTGGCGATTGAAACCGAAAAACATTTGCGTAATGCAGTTTGACGCAGATTGACAGCAGAAACCGAGCAGATCTGTCAAGCGCAATATCGTCAAATTACCGGTACTGAGCAGTAAAGTTGAATAGGGTTGGGTTATACCTATGTTTTTGAAAGTTTCATACATATAATACATATGTGATTGTATGATATATTATACGTAGAATAATCAGAACTATGCGACCTTGAATTTCGTTAAAAAGTTAGCACCCCATTTTTAAAAAATTATTAAAAAATGATTATTAAGCGCATGTCATTAAAAATCATACAGAACTCTTTCGTATCGTCAAAAAGAAGCAGAAATTATCATCAGAACTATTGTATCTAAAAATTAATTTTAAAAAAATTTTTAATTTTTTTTTAATATTCGAAAATTTTTTTTACATATCAGGAACTCTAGGCAATTGCAAATTGAAGCTATTAAGCCGCTCAGAACTATTCCACCTCGAAATTCGATAAAAAGTTAGCACCCCATTTTTAAAAAATGTAAAAAAAAATGTTTATTGAGCGGAACTCTTGTTACTAACTATAGGGAACTCTTCGTCTCGTCAAAAGGAAGTGGGAACTCTAATCAGAACTCCTGAGTACTATAGTTGGAGTGCTAACTTAACATACCCTAACTTTTCCCGTAGGACGGAAAAGTGAAAAGTTTTACGTGAACTCTATGATCATCTATAATTTCGAGGAATCATAACTTTCCCAACTGTGAAAATGGAAAATTGTTCACATGAACTTTTTTAGCCATGGACCGTGGTGGTAGACAGGCGGAAATCTAGGGAATTGATAAATATACTTCGGAACTAACATGTCTTATCCTCCGACAATTTATCTTAAGGCAGATGCCATTAAAATTGAAGAAGAAAGGTTATGTACCATATATGTAACTATTATAATAATATATTACAAAAACTATTCTACCCCTCACTAATTCGGGATTACGTTTTAAATACGCTATACGTGAAAAGTTTCACATGAAAATACATGATTGACTCCCTGAAGCGTTATGCGTGTATAATGGGAAAGTTGTTAGGGGCTACGTAGAATAAAAAGAACAGGAAATAAAGAGAACAGAGAATAAGAATTTCAATCTATCAGAAACTGTGTACTCCACAGTACATGATTTTTGATAGATTGAAATTCTTATTTTCTGTTCTCTTTATTTCCTGTTCTTTTATTCTGCCCAGCCCCTTTGGGACACAAAACATAATTCAATTCATCACAGTTAAGCTATCATAAGCAGACTAAAAAACAACGATATTCTGGTTTATCCCGTTATCACGCTTTGTTTTAGTCTCCCTTAAATATTTTAGTAAAAAAAACTAAATGAAATATTACACAATGTTGCAATATTTTATCTTATCAGACATAGGAATATTGCTGCAATATTGTAGGAAACTATAGATTTTCAATAACAATGTGTATCGGAACACGGTAAATCTGCTGTCAATTTGTCAACATTCTATTAATATTTTACTTACGAGGTAAAGGTAATGCGGCCACATCATCTGAAGCACTTTGAAGAATATATTGATATATTATTAATTTTTCATCAAAAACAAAATGCTCAGGAACTGTGGTAAAGTCCCAATAGTTCATTTTTTTACCTGATGTCCATAAACCTGTGTCATTAAAAGAAAAATAGTTTAGGAACGTTAAGAAATAATATATTGTGTAACATGTATGTTAAAGTTGTTACACGCTTCGCTCGTGCGCTCCTCTGCGCCCGCGCCGCGCTATAGATAATTATAGCACATGAGTTTTTTGCACATAAATTTTTTCATCACGAGTGCACTGTGTTAGTAATATGTTATACAATTATAAAGTTGCACGAGCGAAGCGAGTGCGACTTATGGGATAGTGCGTGGGGCGCTGGAAGCAGAAGGGGTTCCGAGGGAGCTGCGCTCCCCCCGAAAAAGAAATTAAACTTTTCGTAAATAAATATTTAACAATACAAAATTTTGTATTGCTCATTACTTTTAATTATAATTGTGAGATTATTACAATTTGAAATTAAATTTAAACGTTATTGTAAGTTGAATGATATTTATAAATACTGTATTGTCGTTTTGTCGTAGTTACTTTTATTATTGGAGAAACCTATGTTTACCCCCCCCCCCCCCCCCCATCCCGAAAGGACGCTCCGGTCGCGCGCGTTTCTCTGTGTTGATATTTGTACGAGCGCTACCACTGCGTTGCGTTATTTTTCATAACGTACCGCTTTTGCGTGGGGTTAGAGAAATAACTCAACGGCTTGAGGTATTGGCTATTTACCGTACGCAAAAGCGTTGCGATATAGGGCACATTACGTGCACACGTGAGGAAAATACATTTGCATCCGACGTCTACATATCCATACAGTATTCAAAAAAAGCAAATATTAATATAACAAAATAATATCTTTCATCAATAAAAGAAATCATTTTAAAACTAAATTACAAAATGATAATTATGTGAGAAGCAACCAGGAATCGGAAACATAGAAGGAATTGTTCATCGCAACGATATCAATAAGTTACACCTAAAAAAAGTATGCTGATGGCGCAATATTCTTAGATGCCCTCAAGAGATACGCAAATTCTAAGCGTTCGCGAGAACTTGACAGCTTCCATGATGTGTCCATATATTCATAATATTTGTATGTGTAAACACATATAAACATACCATGTCTTTACTCTGTGAGTAGAAATAAAATACTGTTGTGCCATTAATTCCGCCATATTCTTTTATCAGCACCATCAATCAATTCCGTCGCAGCCTCAGTTTGCGCATCTTCTTCTTCTTCTTCTTTAGACTCAGAGGATTCAGGCTTCCTGGATGAAGCCCATTAACCTTGCAGACAGTGGCCTTCAGGGAGAGATTCCATTTGAGTAGTAGTATCTCTCAGCCTGAGAAATATTTCTATCATCAGTCCATATTGTTATTTATTTAATTGGGCTTCTTGTAGATCACAATTTGCGCATCTCAAATATTCTTAACTATCCATGAAAAAGCGTACCTCAGAGAGTCAAATTAAGAATATTGCGTTATTAGCACGCTCTTCAGGTGCAATCAATCTGTCGCTGCGTAAAGGTGCTTTTTCATGCGCAGCACGCTGCAGCAGCAATTCGTTACTATTGGTTAAGAATTTTATGTAAGCTAGATGACGCACTTCCGGCGCAAAATACATTTTGCCGCAGTTCATTGAAGTTGAACCGAACGAACAGCAAGCAGCAAGCGGCAAAATCGAGGCAATATTATTTATTGCAATAAATATTAGGAAAATAAACGAAGAATGGCTTCGGATAAGGTACGAATGTTTGTAAATTAGATTATTTTATACTTTACACTTTACTTTTTCAAATTTGTGGTAAAGTATAAAATGATCTAATTTACAAACATGTATCCGTACCTTATCCGAAGCCATTTTTCGTTTATTTTCCTAATATTTATTGCAATAAATAATATTTTCATAATGAAACGACGGACATATTGTACGCTTTCTCGATTTTGCCGCTTGCTGCTTGCTGTTCGTTCGGTTCAACTTCAACGAACTGCGGCAAAATGTATTTTGCGCCGGAAGTGCGTCATCTAGCTTACATAAAATTCTTAACCAATAGTAACGAATTGCTGCTGCAGCATGCTGCGCATGAAAAAGCACCTTAATAGTTCTCTATGGGAATTTTCGATTCCTTGAAAGCAACTCTACGATATAATCTGCAAAGTTATATAGTGTATATCAGTCTTTGCTTGAAATTAAAGGAAAATCACTAATATATGTCTGATTGGTAGAAAATTTCTATGTCTGAAATAGATATGGATATTAGATACAAGACTCTCTCTCCTGAAGCGTGCGAACATACTTATATTTCAACACATTCAAATATAAAATAAATGAATAAAAATGCATTTGGACTGATAAAGATATATTTTAACGTTTACGAACACATATTTTTGAAAATCTGAGTCCATTTCAATCCAATTTCGTTTAATGGGTCGTATGTTTCTCAAATTTTTATTTCTAACTTTTGTTTAAAAAATACCTATCGTCTAAAAACAAAGTGATATCACTGACTTATAATTTCTCTATCTGCTCTCTCAAGTAATTCATTATATTATACATATACTTATATTAATGAACTGCACATTGTGCATAATTGTGTGTAATCAAATTCACCTGTATGAATATCGTAGATATCAATGCTTTGCAGCTTTTGTCGATATCGTCCTATACCGCCCACAAGCACTAATTTGTTTTTCAAAAACACAGTAACCATATGCCTTCTTTCAACTGGCATGCTAAAATATTTACAAAAATTATTCATCTTATTTATTCTATTACATTTATCACTTATATTTAATCTTTTCTTTAAAATATTTACACTGTCTCAAGAAACCATTTCTTAGATATTAAAGAATAACGCCATACATTTTTGTTAAACCTGCCTGAACCAATACCAAATTCTCCACCACAAAGATATAAATCATATCCTAAAAACTCACATAAAATAATGAATAATTAGAATAATAATGTTTTATAATATATAAGACAGAAAAGAAAATTGCATACTTCTTGCAATAATCTGCATTCCTGTTAATATATTTTTACCAGCGTTACGATCAGTAATATCTTTGGGATATTTAAATGTGGTAAGTTCAAAGAAATTGTTACCATCCCAGCAATGAATAAAGTGCTCATTGTTAGTAACATGAACACTTTCACAAGATATAATACCGTGTAGAATTTTGAATTCTTTATTTTTTAAGCTATCCATAGGAATTGTGAAATCCTGCACATATATACAAACATAAAAAATAATTTTATTATATATACAGGGCGTTTAAAATTTAAATGTCAAAATTTGGAGATGGTGTAGGGGATTAATAAACTAATTGTAAGAAAAGAAGTCCTATAGAAGTCCTATGTTCGTTTTTGCAATAATTTATTTAATAATAAAATATTTTAAAATTATTTAATACAATATAATAATAAAGTGAAACAAGGGTTTATACATATTGCGAAGAATATCACGTAATTTTTGGCGTTTCGTCCCGACCTCGACTACACTAGATTCATCAGTATGGCATTGTAGTGGAGGTCTACCTTATACGCCTGATAGAGTTATTAATCGAGATTCTATATAAAGAGATATACGCGTATCAAAGAACTTGCGAGAATTTTTGCGAATATCGATAGACCTCTGATGGCGGGTCGACGTAGTAATATTCTTCGCAATATTTATCAAAAGTAAGAATAACTTCCTATTAATAATTAACCAATATACTTGAGTATGTTAAGTTAGCACCCCAACTATAGTACTCAGGAGTTCTGATTAGAGTTCCCACTTCCTTTTGACGAGACAAAGAGTTCCCTATATAGTTACTAACAAGAGTTCCGCTCAATAAACATTTTTTTTACATTTTTTAAAAATGGGGTACCAAATTTTATCGAATTTCGAGGTGGAATAGTTCTGAGCGGCTTAATAGCTTCAATTTGCAATTGCCTAGAGTTTCTGATATGTAAAAAAAAATTTTTCGAATAATAAAAAAAAATAAAAAATTTTTGAAAAATTAATTTTTAGATACAATAGTTCTGATGATAATTCGTGCTTCTTTTTGACGATACGAAGAGTTCTCTATGATTTTTAATGACATATGCGCTTAATAATCATTTTTTAATAATTTTTTTAAAAATGGAGTGCTAACTTTTTAACGAAATTCAAGGTCGCATAGTTCTGATCAGCTCAACAGAACTATTTTGTGAATACCTAGAGTTCTTGATACATAAAAAACATTTTTGTAGAATAATAAAGTTTAAAAAAAATAGTAGAAATCTTTGAAAATTTTTTTGAGAGTACCGAGTAGTTCTGAGTTGCGTTTCTTATAGTACTCGACGAGTTCTATCGAAAACTGTCAGGTGGAAAAGCGATTGGACCAACGGTTTACAAGATACAAAAAAATATTTAATGGCCGGTACTATTGTTATAATCGATCAGGAACTGTAGTACTCTTCGAGTACTGTGAGATTCCGTCATAAAAATCGGCTTTTTCAAATCTTGCGGTGCCACGCGAAGTTAGCACCGCATATTTTTATTTTTTAAAATTTTTGGCCTAAATCAACAGTACTATTGATGAAACCTATCAGGAACTCTAGAACTATTGCGGATGCAAACAGTACTGTTATTAAAATTTCCGATTTTTAAAGTTGACGTGCTAACTTCACAGAGACCACATTGCGGAGGTTTCGTCCCCACACGGAGGTCAGGACGAAACGCCAAAAATTACGTGATATTCTTCACAATATGTTAGAATAAAATTAAATATTTTTAACGAATTTGTTAGCTCGTAAACCCTTGTCTCACTTTATTATTAGTTTTAAAAAACTTAACGAGCCTTATTACTAATATGTTTTAATACAATATATATTGTATTTCTAAATATGTACAACATATACTTACATTATGGTGGTTCATCCACTCATGTATAACATGAAACAAATAAGATTCCGTTGATCTTACATTAACATTCCTAAGTAATTTCAGAAAATTTTCCCTCGACAGTTCATAAATCGAACTGATTGGCAGTTCATCAAAACGATCTAAGCAAACAGCCAAAGAAAGATCTCGTAACACATTAACATTTAAGTCTTGTGATAGTAACCAAATATTAATTACATATTTTGGTGACATATAATGCCTTTCAAGTCTGTCAGTTACATCTTCTATTAAATTATCTACTATAAATAAAACACTTAATTCCAACAAGACCAAGAGGCGATCAAATTCTTCAACATCACAATGTATCACAGAGGTATCAATTTTGTCATTGTGAATCCAATTAATAAAATCCTACAAAATAATATTTTTTATTTCAATTGCATTCAACAATATGATTTATATTATAAAACTTGATATAATGTCAGTAATTGTTTCATTTTAGCGTGCACAAACACAAAAATCGCTAAAATCTAAAACACAATGCGATGGAATAGCGATAGCGATAGGAATAACACAGTTTCAACCTATCAAAAATTATGTATTCTGGTGTATCGGATTTCTTATAAGTTGAAACTGCGTTAAGCCCAAGACACAATGCGAGGGAATAGCGATAGCGATAAGTTTCAACTTATCAGAAATCGAATACACCGGAATACACATTTTTGATAGGTTGAAACTTATCGCTATCGCTATTCCCTCGCATTGTGTCTTGGGCTTTATTCTTATCACTATCGCTGTTCCCTAGCATTGTGTCTTGGGCTTAAAAAATGGGTGCATTTAGTACGACGACCGCTCGAAGAGCTCTTGCATATGATTGGCATATTCCGTTAGATCTAAAAATATAAACCAAACAGATACCAGTGTCTACATTCTGTACACATCTACCGACAGTTGTTGATGTCGTTAAGTAGCGTTAGCCAATGGCAAGGACTGTTCTAGGAGAAAAGTGCAATTCTTATTAGCTATCGCTACTTAACGGCACTGACAACTGTCGGTAGACGTGTACAGGGTATCGATCATGTAACTTTTTCTCTAGGGCGAAAACGTGAAAAGTGAAAGTTTTTTGCATGTATGTGGTATATGTTCATACTATTGCTATTGCCTCGCATTGTGTTTAGGACTTTTCAGTAAAGTGGATCAATCAGCATTAATCATGCAAACGGCTATTGATCAACTTCACCGATAAAACTTAACATTACTGACTCTTGTAGAATCAGTATTAAACATGACTAAGAATTACTTTGTTGTAATTAACTAACCTGTAACGAAATCTGGGAAATATCATAATTGACAATGTGCTCCACTTGATTATATTCTGAAAAGTTTGCAGACATAAGAGCAGCAAAATACTGACTCTTGCTGATCAATTTTTGTTTATCAACTGCAAATCGCTCTGTTTTAAGAAGCAGTGTCACTGTTTCACTCAATTCTTCATTCTTATTTCCCATTTTAGAACAGTATAGGGTCTCTTTCACCAACTCTGACTAAAAATATAATTTCATGTATACTGCTAAAATAAGCAATTGAACAGATCTGTCGGTGTTAGTCCGGTCAATTCTAGCAACAGAAATTTTGTAGTTTGGACGGTAGTTTCGGCTACAAGCGTATTTTTCTTCCTTTTCTTCTTTAATTATCCTGCTTGAATTTTGGATCCAATATGAAAGGATCACCATGCAAAAAATTGGATTCAAAGATTCTGTGATGGCCTCTTCCTCAGGGAACAGAAGTCTCAAGTCTCATGTAATATTTTTCTAATAAATTGTATAGTATAATTCCCAAAATATCAATACCACAACTTCACAACTACAAGCGTTAAACCACAGTATTTATCTTGGTGGTTTTAGTCGAGCGGCGAATTAACGTGCCTTCAATCTATCCAGTTAAGGTTATGTGACACATAGATTATCAGAACTGAGAATACTGCAGTATACCAAATTCGAATATCCCCTTTTTCAACTTCTTACAATTCACAACGGTGTCTTAAGCTCTTTTATTGGGTGTGACATGCAGTGTCTAAGATTGAACCTTCTTCACTTTATGTTTCCGCCTCTCAAAATTGTAATATAGAAGGTCGATACGGCCAGATCACGTCTTTAGTTATATTAGACTAAAATTATGATACAAAGCCCACCTGCACACCGCCCTGCGTTTATTACGCCGCAAAGACGAACAAACGGTCATCCAAATTCCTCGGTTGATTGACTGCGTCAAAATCAGTCAAAATCGTCTTCAATTGCCTTCACGGAGGAAATAGGTTACGTTCGCGACACTTTCTTATAGCGCACTCAATTACCTTCTTCTTCTTCTTAGTAGATTGTTGGCCCTGATCCTCGGCAACGAGGTAAATGTGGCCATTCGTTTCTCATTAGAGTCCGCGGTAACACCAAAAAGATAAATGTAAAAATGCAATGCCCGCGAAAATAGCGTTGCTCGAACAGTCTCCGGGCGCCTGCGTCTACGGCGTCGTCACATCGCAATAACGCGCGTCATAGGAGTCCTAACCGTCAAAACGACGAATTATCGAGACGAGCCCATCCGCGGGCACACATCAATGTGATACAATGCACAGCCGAAGTCGGCAACACTTTTAAAAAAAATATAAAATAGAAAGCACCCGATCCGAAACGCGTCCGCCGCGGCCGAGTGATTTTTCGAAAGCGGAAAGCGAAACTCGCGCACTCATTATGCGGCGTGCGCATCATCACGAGCACTTCGAGTGTCGAGAATCGGAAACTGAACTCGGAACCTAAAGGTGCCTTTACATGGCTTTTACATGGGAGCATCAAGCGTCGAGAATAGAATAGAAAAGAAAGAAGGAATAGAATAGAATAGAATTTATAACGAAAAAATATTTTTTAATTAAATTAAGTCACACGAAGCTTGTTTTTCTACTGGATTGCTAGCTGGATCAGATTCTTGCTATCGGATTGGTTACGACTCTTGGCATTGTTAGCACCGCAGCCAATACAATGGCAGGATGCTTAATCCAGCTAGCAATCCAGCAGGAAAATAGGCATTATGTGCCGCTGGCTTTAGACTTTTGAGGGTTTTTACTTAAAATCGGAAGGAAACAATGCTGATTAATTGTCTCTATTTCATCTTTCCGTTTTCCATGTTTATGGGTCGGCACTCTTGAGATACTATAGCCATGGTTAAATATCGCCCATAAAAACGCACCTTTACGCAGATTGTTTACGCGGGAGAAGTAGGGCAAATAGGTTACTTTGGAGTATACATGTTCTAATCTAAATACATGTGTTATCTCGGAGAGTTGATAAGCATTCGTTCATAATTTTTGTTTTTTCGTCAACATGAATCTCTTCGAGGATCCTATTCTTAAAACTAAATATTTGAAGCATAAGCTTTGTGTGAAACGATGGGAGAGTAATTTTATGGAAAGATTTGGACGCAAACCTAATAAGGTATATTACCTCTATCCTAGCTTACATTTGCATTAAATGCCGTTATCTGATATTTTTTTCATTGCTCACACGAGCAATACATGTAGTTACAAAATTCAACTCAGAGTTACATAATCGTATATTTATTTTAAGAATATAACATATGAAAAAAATTGAGATTATTAAATCTTAAATGCCTTCACATATGTTTTATTATATTATCAATGAAAATTATTAGTATATGTATCATCATATATATCATATATACAGTGTATCTTATTAGCATCTAAAAATTTTCTGAGTGCACCCAAATATCATTTTATATATGTTTATATTTAGTAGATAACAAGGATAAAATGATACCTGGGTACATCCAGGTGAAGTTCCTATGATCTAAAAGACTATTATATAAGGTTTGTTTGTATCACATGTCCCAACATGCTCCAATATTTTCTTACCATAGCTTCTACTAACTTCAATAAGCATGTTGGAATGAGTAGGATCTATGTTAGGAACATGTTTGAGCATGCAACGTAAACAAATCTATAGTGAGAGAATATCTTACTTGACTAGATTAATACATAATGAAAGCTGTTTTAAATAAAGTATCTAAATGTAATACAACAGCTTAATACAATCAACTTCGACAATAAAATAATACATATATTTTCCATTAAATAATATAACAATGTCATTATTAGTCATTTAATCCTAAATTTTCATATGCTTTTAAGCTTAATGTTGCTAATATCATAATGTCATATAGCAGCTTTTAATATGTACTAATCTATTATAATGCAAATAACCAATTTCATTAATAACTGTATTCCATTGTGAATACTAAAAATCTATGTTATAATATATGTAATATGAACTATAGAACTTCATTTACTTGCTGTAAATAATGAAAAAGTCAATTTTCAAAATTAAGCAAAATATAAAATGTATGTTTTCTATTTATTTAGTATTGAAAATATTATATAATATTAGTTATTTTCTAGCTAGAGAGTAACTTGAAGATTTGAAGATTGTCTTTGTGTCTATAATTGAAATGTATTCTTTTTACATATTATATGATTTCTCTAGTTATTCTACATATTAAAATATACAATATTAAAGTAATATTATCAAAAAATGAATAGTTAAACGATATACATTTTATTCTGTCATATTTTTTACATGGAATATATTGAATAATATCTCTCTTAAACTTTTTAATTTTTGATAATCAATACCTTAACTTTTATGCATAGAATAATGAAATAAAATAGTAGCTTATTTTAAAAAAATCATTTTGCAATGTGCAACTACACTTTTTTAAGCCATTTATGTATATTTTCTTTGTATTAATTGAGTCATCTTATTATTTGTGCTTAAAAGTTTAAAGTTTTATAAAAATTAATAACTTATTTGAGTCTCTTTCATGGATATTATTTTTAATTATACCAGAAGGTTTGCGGGTTGTCACCGCGTTTTTATCCATTGCTAATGCCATTATCAATGCCTGCTATTATCTATTAATGACATTAGCAATGGATAAAAACATGGTGACAACCCGCAAACCTTCTGGTATAATTAAAAAAAATTAATAGTTTATGAGATATCTAGATACGGAGATAAAATCCGCGAAATGTATAGCCTCTTTATACAAAATTCTCATGAAAGTCTCAAAAATATTATCTCATAAAATAGTGATTTCTTGATAATTAGAGGAATCATATTATAATAAAAAATTGTACAATTTTAATTACAAAAAAAAGGTAATCTCTGAAGATCTTTAAACTACTCCACTTAGAGAAAAAGCCAACATCGTAGTATGATATTATTTTTTTCGATTCCGAATGGATAACAGAAAATAAAAATTTTATATTTTGCTTGATTTTAGAAATGATAGTTTGTAATATTTACATACATGTATATACATGCATGTATGCACACACATACACGTACGCACGTTATTGAATTACAGTTATGTTGATTATTGTATTACAATTATGTTTACTTTTGTAAACTTTTTTGTAAATAGAATGACATAAAGGAAGCCGATCCATCTATCAAGGATGCATATAAGATGTATTGGAAACTGAAAACGCGAGCGCTCGAGGAAACTCTTACAGACATTACTTTTTGTGATGATATGCAAGATAATATCTCAAATAAATCACCGCAAAAGATAATAAACAATCACAAGCAAGATAAGAATCTGAGCTCAGAAAAAGTTACAAAAGATACAGAGAACATAAATCCTTACGATAGCAAACGTTTGACAGAAATTGGAGACTCATTTGACCAGCTGGATTCAGTGAATGTTGAAGGAACCTGGGGCAACCATCTAAACAAAAATAATGAACAAACATCAAAGAAGAAGCCAACTCTGTTGATTGGTAGATCTTCTTCCTTTCAATTGTCTAGAAACAAGTTTGAGAGTTCAACATTTACTAAGCGAAATCCGAGAAAATCGTTATCATTGGTAAAAATGAGGAACAGATCCGAGAATATCCTAAGTACCTCGAACATCGACCAATTGGATGCACATAAGGATGTAGCTATTGATGAAACAAAGCCTATCGTCGAATCGATGAAAGTAACATTTGAGAAAAGCAAGCCTGCTTTACAACACTCCATTAATGTTGTCCAGCAATTGGCCAACGGCCATGTGAATAGCACAAGCCGTAATTTGAATCCAGGTTGGCTACATCGATGCACGAGAGACAATAATTTGGAAGTGACAACGATTAATCCTCAGAGGCTGTCAGGCACTAGCGATTCCGGAATAGAGTCCATGGAATCCAGCATTTATTCCCCGAACGACTTGGCGCCCATTGTGCATTTCTCGTCGCATCAAGCCTCCGACGAAGATTTTATATGTAATAGTGAGTCTGAGGAAGAACACGGAAATAAACGCATTAGAAACTTTAAGAAACGACTGAGTGATCAAGATAGTCATCCCGTAAAACGACGACGTATTCATAATGATTCCGATTTTACGATCGGTGAATTTCATGTAACCAATAGCGATATGTCCAAGCTGACTACCTGTATCGATAGGAGTTTTAATTTATTGAATAGAGATGAGCATAGTGAGAATAACGTTGACAATGATAATGCATTTAAATTGACTAACAATGCTAATACGAGCACAAATATAATAAACGAATCAATTAATATTAAAAGTGATATAATTACTTTAGATTCAAACATTGAATCGAATGTTATCATTAAGAATAAAATGACATCTGAAAATGTTTGCTCGACTGAAAACGATCAAACTAAAGAACTGTTCAGAATGACTGATTCTATTTCAAATTCAACCAATCTTAATAACCAAAAAGACTTTTCAAAATCCGATGAAAAACCCGTGAAACGTGTATTACGTCAAAGAGTCACACAAGTATCTAACAATTGTGACCCCAGTATAGATAATAACGAAGAACCTAAGACAATGACAAAGACGAATAAGAAATTTAGAAGTCAACGAAGTAAAGAGAAGACAATCGTTAATGAAAAAAAATCCAATGTAAAAAGGAAATCTTCCAGAAGAGAATTAAATTTAGAGAAAAATAACGAAGAACTGAGTTTAGATGAAAAAATGAACAAGATTCCAACATATAATGTAGAAATGTTACAAACGATTCCTCGCTTTAACAAACCAAATGATATTGACAATCTCTCGCAGTTTTCCGAAACTGTTTCCACTAATGCAATGAAAAAAGATGTCTCGATATCTTCAACAGCTAGGACAAAATTGACTGCAAAGGAGAAGTTAGAGAAAAAAATGACTGCCGGTACGATGAATAATAATTTTATAAGGATAAATCTAAAGAAAAAAGTATTTGTGAGAGGTAAAAAGAATTTTAATTGTGCTAAATATAAGAGAAATCAATGGAAACAGAGGAAGAAAGATTTGACGTCTAGTGAGAGCAATTTGGATGCGGCCGATTTTATCGACAAAAATGGTACGGCATGCTTGAAATGTGGTGAGTCCGGGCACTTTGCTAAAAATTGCTCAACTTCCAAAAGTAGCGCTCTTTTACCTTTAGAAGAAATCGATGACTCATCAAACTTTCCAACTTTGGAGGAAGCCGAAAAAATGGCAAATGAGACTGCCATTATCACTCACAGTCATAAACGATTTCCTAAAAGATCATCGTATTTTGCAACGAAGACTTCGCAGGACGAAGAAGATATGACGGAATTATTTAATGACGACTTTGCAGACTTCGATGAGAAGAGTGATACATTAACTTCCAGGCATAAAGTGCCACAGGAATTGGTATTCAGATTATTGCCACCAGAAATGAAAGCGATTGATCCGTTATATGATGTGAACGAAGATAATAGTCTCATTGAAACTCCTACGGAAATCTTTGAGACATTACGTATGTTTGGTCATGAAAGTTTCAGAGTCGGCCAAGAAAAGACAATAATGAGGATTCTATCTGGCCAATCTACCCTGGTAACGTTATCGACAGGCTCTGGGAAATCTTTATGTTATCAGTTACCAGCGTATTTATATGCTCAACGTTCTGTTTGTATCACTCTAGTAATTTCGCCTTTGGTATCCCTGATGGACGATCAAGTGACGGGTGTACCATTATTTCTGTCTGCTGCGTGTTTACATGCCAACCAGACGGTGAAAGTAAGAGAGCAGGTGATACAATCGTTGAAGGATGGAAAAGTAAATATTCTTCTGATATCACCTGAAACAATGATAAACAGCGAGAAATCTACTGATTTCGGAGCTCTGCTCAGACAGCTACCGCCAATCGCATTTGTCTGCATTGATGAAGCCCATTGTATCTCCCAGTGGTCGTACAATTTCAGACCTTCCTACCTGATGGTTTGCCGAGTGCTCAAGGAAAAGTTTAAAGTAAAAACAATATTGGGACTCACTGCGACTGCTACGAAAACAACAGTGGAAAGTATGATAAAACATTTAGACATACACGACGGAATAGCTGGTGTCATATCGGACGTGCCTTTGCCTAGGAATCTTGTTCTAACGGTATCCAAGGATGAAAACAAAGACCAAGCTTTAATCGCGCTATTAAGAAGCGAGAGGTTCCGCGAATGCCATTCTGTGATAGTGTACTGCATCCGTAGGGAAGAGTGTATGAGAATCGCAGGGTTATTAAGAATATCACTACAGGTAAATATTAAAATTTCTAATTGTCTACAAATGATAGAAACAATAAAAATATAAGCCTTTTACTAAGATAAAAAAAACTAGCTTTTTTCATCACTTGCATAAAAAAAAATTAAAATAAAATATCTTTTAAATAAGACAGATTTATAATAAATGTATACATCTATCAATAGGATCCACGGAATCCTGAGAAACCAAACATGAAAATATCCGCAATAGCTGAAGTTTATCACGCCGGTATGACTTCTAATAGACGCAAGCTTGTCCAAAAAAATTTTATGGATGGAAAGATTAAAATTGTGGTTGCCACTATTGCATTCGGAATGGGTATCAATAAATCGGACATCCGGGCTATTATTCATTACAATATGCCCGGCACATTTGAGGGATATGTACAAGAAGTTGGTCGTGCTGGAAGGGATAATATTACAGCACATTGTCATTTGTTCTTAAATCCCATGGTATCGTATTTGATTAAAAATCTGAAATTGCTTTACGAAAAACTGTGTGTTTCTTATTTATCTTGGAGTTCTCTTTATTAATTAAATCAATTATTCCTAAATAGGAAGACAGTGATAAGTGGGAATTGCGCAGACATGTACACGCGAATGGTGTAGACAGACACACGATTAGACATCTACTTCAGAGAATTTTCATTCCTTGTTCTTGTGCAAAAATCAACGAGAAAAATTTAGGTCAAAGATGTCCCGGTCACGAAGTCGCTCTTCCAATTGATGAAACTGTTCATGCCCTTGACATCACACAGGAAGTGATTTTGACATTATTATGCTATCTCGAGCTACATCCAAAAAGATTCATTACTGTGTTACCATCCGTGTACATTCAAGCGCGGATTTCAAGTTACGAAGGACCACACGCTCTCAAACAAGCAGCGCAATCCGTAAGACCTTCACAATAATAATATTAACAATACTAATATTTTTTCTCTAATTTCTATAGAGAATTTTTCTAACAGCAGTATAATACAAAATATAAAAAAGATTTTATTATATGACAAAAAAGAATGATATAAAAATAAAAATATTACAAACTTTAAATTTTAGTCTCCACCGCTTGCAATGGCACTGGACATGAAAAACGGGATTTCAAATGAAAATATTATAGAATTCCCAGTAATCGACGTTGCATCAGCTATCGGATGGGATAGTGGCGTAGTAAAGAGTCATCTTAAGACTTTAGAATGGAAAACAGGAGGTAAGAATTCTATATTCTATTTATTTAAAAAAATTTCAGATTTTACTGAAACGTATTTCATTTACATAACCATGAATATTACCTTAATGTGTTTTGCAGTTGATGGCAAGATGAAACGTTCAGCCATATCTGTAGAATATCATAAACTCGGTTTACGAATGAAAGCACCGGGTGATCTTAGCGACATTGAATTGGACGAGGCACTCGACGCATTGATCACACGCACGCAAACACAGGAATCCTTGTGTTTGCAGCAACTCGAGCTCGCATCCTCCGCGTTTAATAAAATCAGCGTGTCGTCAATCAAACATTCCTTGGTCTTGGATGATAATGTTACGAAGAGATCGGAGGAGCTTAAAAATACTATCAGAGATTACTTCCTATCAGATTCTCCTTTAAGTGATCTCAATATCAGTTTGCAGGTACATCCTTGACTTTTAAAATTTATTTAAAATCTATGAAATATAAATAATAATTAAAATTGATTTTACCTTTTTTACCTTTTGTAGAATAAAGTGACGAACGAGCAGCAGATCGCAGTCGACGTCCGCAGTTTGATAATATGTTATAAGGATACTAAGTTTACGGGTCGTGTCGTAGCCCGTATCTTTCATGGAATACAAAGCCCGAATTATCCTGCATTAATTTGGCATAAATGTCGTTTTTGGAGAATTCATATCGCTACAGATTTTAACACAATTTGCAAAATTGCAGCCAGAGAAATTCTAGCGTTACGATAATGAAATCCATTTGATTCATTGACTGACACGTGAGTGATATAATTAATATATTATATTTAATCCGATCTTGTTAATCATACACTTACTTTTTAATTCTTATCAGAATAAACTTTCATAATGCATCAAAATGAATGGACAAACGAATCAGATTTACTTTAAAAAATATCTTTTTATTTTCAATCTTTAATTAAATATCAATTTAATGAATTATATAGTATATTTAAAATAGTTATATTGAAAATATATAAAATAACATATAGAATTTAAATAGTATGTAAATGTATTTTAATGGAAAGGATAAACTGTTACTTTTATACAATAAAATATATTTAAAATTAATGCTCCTATATTTTTTCTTTCTGCAATTATATGATGTCAGTAAATGTTAGTAAATGTTTACCTTACCCTCAAATGACTTTTGAATTTTAATATTAACCTCAATCTTAACTTTCAAACAAGAGCGCATTCACATTAGGCATCTCAGCCATCACGTTTCTCGCTTTACCTCTACTATTCATAATACTTACGTGGACAGTAGTAGCCGCAGTAGGCCAATTACTCAATTTTACATGTAAATCTCTTAAACAAGGGCTCAAACTTCTTTATACTTTTTACACTCTCAATCTTGCCTTTCGAATGATATACTACACATTTCAATTTGTATCTCGCAATTCTTGCCATCTTATGAGATAAATATGAAATGAAACTGAAGAAATGCATGGATGAAGGAGGAAGGATTGAAGTCCGAACGTTGTTGGAGATAGGGACAAACAAACAAATATTAATATGTCCGTTTAATGTGATACATGAGGCATGATAATATTATCAGCTTGGTAAAGACAGTGACCGTTATAATATTTGCGTAATGATAATAATTTTATATGTATAATAATTATATATATATATATATTAAATATGTAATATACATATACATATATGTAATATATGTGCGTATATATGTGTGTAAACACACATACACACAGCACAATGTACAAACTATACCTTAATATATTTTAACGCAGAGCGATATTTTATATACACAGCCTTAGACCACACGTGCTGGTCTAGGTATCGATTCACAGATCGGTTTCAGATTCGATTTCTATGATTAGAGCTTGAAGATCGATCAGAATTCTGCGTCCTACGTAGCTGCAGATTTCCTCGACTCTCAACCTCTTCATCGCAAACCGCGAAACATATTCCAACACGTTATTCGGCATTCCTATAATTATCGACATTTATATATAGTACAAGCAAATTTCTCATACGCACACTCACATATACGCACGCACGCATATATTCCAATCTGAACTACTGATAGGACTACGCAAGAACCCTTTGATCAGAAGATCTCTAGTTTATTTAGCATCGATCATTTTCATCTAATATGTATAAGATATGAATATAGACAATTACGTATAAAATCAACAAAATTGTTATTGGTATTATACACATGTGTATAGTGGCACGTAACATTTTAACATAAAACTCTTTTTCAAATTGTATAGTGATTGTATATATGATTAATTACGATCTATTATCCGTGTGTAATATTATTGTAATATAAATAGTTACTTATAGATAGCATCGTATGTCTATTTTATTTTGACAGATTTAAAATCTTTTTTTTTTTTCATTTTTGAGCGCGACTTAAGATGTTTTTCTCTAAAGGATGATTTACACGGAGTGATTTTATTCGCTTTCTACAATAACCTCTTATAGCTTGTTTTGATGCTGCTAAAGTTACTTAGCTATTCACTTGACCACTCGATGCTGCGACTTCAAAATTTTAGACGCTAGCGAATAAAAAACAATTGTGTGGGAGAAGCTTCATCAGCGAATTTGCTGGCGAATTAAGAAACTTCAAGCGAATAAAAACTGCCTCAAGAGAATTTGCTGACGAATTAATGATGTCATTAGACGCTGCTAAAAGTAAATAAAGTCGCTCCATATAAATCATCCTTAAAATTAAATGCACTTAACAGAAATAACATTTCCGATTATCTTATGCTGGGTTTTCAAAAAATTTAGAACGCTAAAATTTCAAAAACGATCGAGTACAGCACAAATGTATGTAAAAAGTAAAATTGTAAAGCTAAATAAAAAATGTATCTAACGATAATAATTATGGTATAGTTTAACTTTAGATAGAATCCATAAGATCATCCGAAGATCCATAAGATTCAAAATATACAACAAAAAACGGGAGTTTCATTTAAAACATTCAAACTGACCTTCATATAATCTAGCAGAGTTTACCTAAAGTCAAGCTATTCATCACCGTTAAATATTTTATTAAGCTTTACAACTTCTTACATATTTTTTGTTATAGTTAATGATGCGTAATACTTTCTAAATGTACTTACATATAGGTGTACAAATATACAAATGTGTGAAAATGTATCTATAAATATACAGATACACATTAAAAAAATATCTTCAGATACATATAAGATACTTTCAAATTATATATTTTATATATTATTATGATAATGATAATATTAAAAAAAAACATAATAAATTATTTATTAATCACTTTTAGTTTTTATTGTTTTAAAGACATTAAATTATAATATAATAATAAAGTAACTAAAAATCCTCTTATAGATCATACGTGCTGTTTATTGCAAAAAAAAACAGGAGTTTTAAGTTGAAACTTTCAACATTAATAGTATTTAATCTTTACATCATCATTCTAATTATAATATAATATGAAAACATAGCAAGCAAAAATAAAATTGCAAAAATTTATTGTTATTGTAGAATGATTTACAATAAAACTTTCAAATATTCGTTATAAGCTTTACAAACCAAACTTATATTTGTTCAAGTCTTAATTAGGAGTGACATCACACATATGATGGAATCGTACCTTTACTAAGTTAATGTATCTGAAGATTTTAGTTCAGATATTGTGTTTTATAAACAACTACAAATACAAATATTCTTTCGATATATTTTAGATGCAGGTTAGATACACAATATGTATCTTTACGAATATTTCAATATGTATCTAAATACATATATAGAAGTACTACCTAATACTGATTATAATCGATCGTTTCCGAAATATTTTACCGTTTGCGAACTTTTTGAAAAAAAAATCTTATATATATTATAAGATCATATAAAATCAATCCAGTAACGCCTAATACATAGTTGTATTATGAGCTGTATAACACTCCTGATTTCTCAATCGTTTTATTCTGTTTTTGTTATATCTTTTGGTTTAACTTATTATATATATTATTATACAATTTTAGATGAAAAGAATTTTGAGCGTTAATGGATCAATCATACATACAGACGTTTCAGTAAATTCCATAAATTAATATAACTTAGACTGCAAACGTTCATGAGGATTCGATTAATCTGTTAATCTTTCTGTTTAACCCTTTTGCCTTTTAATAGCCTACAACTGTATTTATAATCTATGATTTTAAAATACGTGCTTGTAAAGTTCTTATAAAACGTTCGTTTATATAATCGCGCATGTAAAAGGATTAAATATTAAAAGTGATTATACCTATAACCACAAATTCATGAAGGACCGAAGGATCGAAACATCTATGGATCCAATGGTCTGTCATTATAATCAATACAGTTGTAACAACAGCTACTTATCTAGTTCAATATAAAAATCGTTCATTGCACATTAATTTCTATTTTCCTCAGAAATCAACACACATTATTAGCTCAATACAAAATTACCATAAAATTCAGATCTTCACGTGCTGTAGAAAACATTTCTATTAGTCTAACTTTTCTTTAAAATTCCATAAATAAGTTTCATAATTTATATCTATCTTCGCATATAAACCCCTTTTTGGAAAAAGCATTTCATAGAAAAATTAAAAATTAAGTCTCTGAATTTTTAGGTAGTATCATGGTTGCGTTCGATTTGGGCGCTCACGCATTCTGTAAACATTCTGTCTTTACCATTTCTTACATAAGCTATAATATTTCTTACATAAGCATTCTGTTTTTGTAATTCAATACATATACGAGAGGAAGATACAATGAAGTTTACAACGTGTGAGCACTTAAACTGAATAGTTTATAATATAGTATCATAAAATCCGAATTTCATAATCAAATTAAATTTTATAAACAAAGAGGATTATAAAACTTTCTTTTATGATATAAGAAATGAAGAATAAAATTTGTGACTATTTCACATTTAATTCAATTAAAAATTCGTATTATTATTTAAGCATTAATTTTATATTAACATATAGCTAATTTATATTTCCAAAAAACTTATTAACAATACTACAAATTTCTAATACGATTGGAAAGAAATTATCTGTACACTAGGTATATCAGAAATTGGGGTACAATTAACAGCAAGATGAGATCAATTGTGATTAAACAGTTGATTAAGATAAAATGAGAATACCTGTAAAGTTGTATTTTTTGAGTTTACATTATATGATTATAACATTAATATATGTATAATTGTACTAAATTAGGATTTAAAAGAAAGAAAAAAATGAGAATTAATTAACTGAGACTATCAGTTAATTAGTTCTCGCAATCAAGTTTGTGCAGATGCGATTATTTACGGACAGGCATTCTTTCCATAGGTATTGTGTGCCCGATGAATGTTCAAATAAATGAATAAAAAATTAATAAAAATATCCTTTCGAATACACTTCTTTTTGATTTATCAAGATGTTAAGAATTTGTTGACCTTAACTGAATAACACTGGTATATTGATCATTAGAATGAATTTATATATGCGTGAAATACTCTGATACACGTGCTCTCTATTATTTCTCTCATAACATGGCTACTACTACTATTTCGTGTATGAACGTCTTCTTCTCCTACTAACAACAATCGATCCCTTCGCATCTTTATTGATGCGAACTCTCGCGCGCTTTTGTTACTTCTTGCGCTTTCAATCACTATAGCACCTTTGACGTCAGTTCCAACTAATCGAATATTCTCTAATGGTTACAAATTTAAACGCTTAAAGCTTATTTTTAAGTCTAAAATAAAATAAAATTAGAAAAAATAATTAACTCCTTTACACACGAAATGAATAAATATTTTTTTATTTCATTTGTGTGAGAATGAATATATTTTAAATATGATTACGAATATTTTTGTTTCCATATTTATTTCTACT